ATTTTAATACCGGAAGGTATATTTGTGTAAAATTGACTGATTTCTTCGAAATTAATAAATTTACAGAGAAAAAAATTAATACATTTAAGTGTGCTCACCAAGTTTAATAGTGATATTCCTTTCTAGTTCATTTTTAAAACGAACAGTCTGCACTCCCGAAATAGCTTTCACAATCGTTGATTTTCCATGTGCTACATGTCCAATAGTTCCTATGTAATAAGTTCATGTATATACATTTATCTATATTTTCTAACACTAGTATTAGAAAATATATGTATCATATTTTTAACATGGAGAATGCTTAAACTTTGTGGACTCACCAATATTGATTGTAGCCTGCCTACTGATTACTTCGGGTGACAATGCAGTTAATGTAATTACATCCTGTACACAAAATCAAAGGAAAAGAACATAAATATTTTTCAGAGTATGCAATAAAATGCTAGGATAAAATTAAATTCAAAATCATTACAATTTAAAATACAGTGGAACTTTCATAACTTTTACTACATGAGACTGTGAGAAGTTATGGAAGTTCTCCCCATTCTGACATTAGGGGTGAAGCATTAAAAGTAAATAGCATGTATTAAGCTGATTCTACAATGAGTCGATAGTCCTAAGGTCCACAGTTCCACAAATTTTCTAAGGTCCAGTTTCACAGCTCACGATTACTTCTTAACCGAGGTTCAACTTGTTTCTCATCTTTTTCCAATTCTAGAATTGGAAAGAGATAATGAATAAGTTGAACCTCGGTTAAGAAGTAATCGTGAGTTGTGAAACTGGACCTTAGAAAATTTCCCGAAGAAAATGACTCCACGCTAAAATCAAGTCAGTTCACGAGACAAAGAGGTAAGAGGCATTGTGAATAACCGAATGCAGCCTTTGTGCAAGTTCAGCTAAAACAAGACATCTAGAGATACATTGATAAAAAAATTCCAATAACTAAAGATTAACAAAGAATAAAATGTTCTACATATGATTCGTAAAAGATTAATTTCTTGTAAAATAAATATAGAATGTTATACTCACAGATCTCTTATTCTTGTGGAACGAGTAAGACATTCTATTATTATAATTATTATTACAATTAAACTTTTAACCAGTTTTTATTAACTTTCATTAAACTTAAAATAGACATTAAGAGGGAAAAAGGACAAAAAATAATTAAGAGCACCGTATATACAAAAAGTAAAACTGGCATCATACCGATTAATAATTAATTTGCAAATTATACATTCTGCCTGAACTTGAAAAATCAGACTAGTAATTTATCTGCCTTACAGTATACTACAATCTAATTGAACAAATATTCAATAATTTCCTCCCTTCCGCGTTCCTTACATTCCTCAATCATTTGATGATTCCGAAAAAAATTTTCACTGACCCTACGTTAAAATCAAGTCAATCCACGGGACAAAGAGATAAGGGAGACAAAAAAATCTGGTGTCGAATCCTATTTTTCTCTTTCTTTATCATAACATTGAGAATCTACGAGTTTAATTTTGAGTAAAGAGAAATATGTTGTGCACGTGGCTACCCATACCAAGCCAAGCCAATATGATTACACGAGGTTATAACATGGCGGCGCAACATCAGGGAATCGAGTATATATCTCAAAATGAGATGAAAATTACAAAAATAGGCAAATTCATTAGAATATTTATAATTTAATTAATTAATATCTAATAAATTTTCTCACTTATGTAATTTTCACCTTATTTAAAAGTACATAATCGACTCTCAAAAAAATGGCGCGAAGCCCACAGTGAACTTACTAGTTTTGATAAATCTTGCTTGTAGAGATTCGGCTGCCCGGTAGTTACACCAAGACTATCCTCATTTCCCATTTTCCAAATCTCACCAGTGTTAAGCTCAGAATGCCTTTACTCTACAAGGGTTCCTTGTTCAATCCTTCTGCGTCCTTCGTCTCTCCACCCACGCTCCTGGTCAAATCGAATGGTTGTGAAGAAATGAACGATGGCTTCGGTATTGCAACTATTGCAAGCAAATCTTCCACTACTTTCCACCTCTACCGACCTCCACTTTCTTCTAGAAAAGAAACCCCGTGGCGTAGCGTTTGCCCTATGCTCTGTAGTCAACCGAATATTTTCGTAACTTCTCGTTACTGGCGCTGTGAACGTGAGCTGTGATGGAGCCACAGGCGAATGTAGATACGAATATACATTACGTGCAGAAATTAAAGCATCATCTCTCACACCTTCGAAAAATGGGTAAACTTTAAAGGAGTGTAACTTCTACATAAATAGTCAAAATGAGATTTAAAAAAAAGCATTTTGTAGCTTGAAATCTCTACTTTCCAAATCTGTATAATGAAATAACGATTCGGCTGATTTTTACGGAACTACATGATTATAAAGGAAGATCCGTAAAATCTCAAAATTTTTTGTAAACTTTGTACAGTTTCATGCCGTGAATGAGAAGTCGGGTACAAATACAATTCACAGCTTTCGAAAGCGTGATCCTTTACCTTTAATTTACCTTTTTTTTTACCTCGGTATGATTTTTTTTACCGAGTTATTCAACATTGAAGTAAAAATGGTCCCTTTGACTTTGACTGCTTATAAAAGACGATCGGAGTGACGCACAGCATTTTTAAAAAAAGCAAAAAAAAGTTCAGTTTTCTCTTTAAGATGCTTTTATCAATTTTTAAACACAGATAAGCTTTTTATGTAAAAACTTCAGTGAAAGCAACGGGCATTATCATACATAAGTATGAATCTGTGTCCCATCCGATCACGCATTGGAAGAACATATGGACGCAATATTTCGTTGATATATCGTATAGACGTTAATCCAGGAGGTGGTATAATAACAAGAGGAGTGCGCGTAAATCGAGATATACCTGCCCATACTATAACGGAACCACCAAAGAAACTTCTAATAATTGGCATACGGCAATTCTCTTCGTTTCGCTGTCCAGGACAACGCTATACTTGTATTCATCTATCATTCTGGTACAAAGAAAATCGTGACTCATCCGTGAACAATACATTGTTCTAATTTCTTTGGTATCAATTAATGTAAACGTGCCTATGTTAAACGTGCATGCCCCTGTGACGACGACTTAACATAGATACACGCACCGGCCAGCGTGAGCGAAAATTAGTTTCTCTTAAACGATTTCTAACTGTTGTTGCAGATATAGGATGTCGAGGATATCTATCTTCGATTAACAAATCGTCTGGCAATATTTGCTGCAGTGATCGTACGGTTTTGAAGAACGTGTCTAATAGCGTATTTCACTGGCAGAGTTGGTGCGCACTCAGTGCACTTTAAAGCTGTTGTGCACAAATCGACATAAAAATGTATGTTTAATAAAAATATAGAAATAAATTAAACCACGAAATCCTTAATATATTTTATTGTGATATTTGATAAAATATACATTGGGTATTTTATTAACTGAGATCTCTCACTTTTACAGTCATATTAGGTTAATGTACAACAGCTTTAATGTGCACTGAGTGCGCAGCGGTTCTGCCAGTGAAATACGCTATAACAATATTTCTAACAAAATGTAGCTTTTTCCGCCTGTATTAAATAAAAAAAAGTGAAAGTGCCGGCCACTCAACGTTTCCCAACCTTATTTATATCCGCCGCAGTTAGTAACACATGTAATTGCCACTAGAAAACACTAGAGTCCCTATAATGAGAATCAAGACATAAGAGGCGACGCCCTCGTGAATGGTCGCCGCCATTTCTAGGCGCTTTCGATGTGTTAGTGAATCTGTGAATTGGTGTGAGCAACTGTTTCATGGTGTAGTAGTACAACAGGCGCGGACGCGTTTGTGCCACGCGTTAAGGTAAATTTTCACGAGCTGCTTTAACCGGCTGTTTTAGCGACGAAAAGGGTCACGTGATCAAAATGGACGTTTGATATTCGTCAATTTTGACCACGTGATTCTTTTTGTCGCTGAAACAGCCGGTTTGAGCAGCTCGTGAAAATTTACCTTTATTTGTGCTGTTTCTGGCTGGCGCCCGGCAATGGCGTCCTTCCGATCTTATGTCTTGACTCTCATTATAGGGACTCTATTTAACGACAGTCGCCATTTTGTGTCTATGGCACGCGATTATTCAAAACTTTAGCCTCTTTCACTTTCACTGCGGTTTTTGTAAATACTCGCTCGCGCTCGAAAATTGCAACAAGGATCTCGCTATCGCGCTCAGTCATGTTGAGTTGAGTTTAGCCGAACGCAGCGTGCTCCGACTCCAATGTGCATCACTGCAACATTAGGGCTGCGTTCCGTTTCACGCATGATGCGCATGATGTATCATTTATCCTTATTAATATTCACCGAATATTAAGTCTTAGTAATTAAAGGAAATGCTCGCAAAGACCAAAAAGCAGAGAGACAAAAGAATAAAGAGACAGAAGAACAAACGCGCAAGCTACATAAAACGATTAATCAATAGCAATACATTCGACTTCATGTTATTAGACAATGATTATCTTATCATTTTCATTATCAATCAAAAATTAGAAATTACTGAATAAGAAATAAAAATCTTAGAATATTTTAGAATTCACATTCATTTAAAAGCTCGTTAGAAACGGGTTTATGATGATGTTGAATCTTATTACATATCTATATTACTAACCGAATATAATGCTTTAAGTATTTTTATCAGATTTACAGAATTTATATTATATAAATGACAGCTTACTATTATGAAATACATGATTTTGTAATCGAATTGATTTATTGAACAACTTGGACATATAAATATCAGATAGGCTTTTAATATTCTTGATATTTACACTGCAGCGGTTTGAACATCATCCAAGTCAGTGGGAAACTTGATCTTTCGGCAGTATAAAATCTGATTTATGGAGACCAGAACCAATAAAGTTCAATTCTAGGATTTCAATGCTTTTATACGATTATATTATGAACAAAAGCATTGAAATCTTAATATTAAACTTTATCGTTTCAGGTACAAGTTAATAATGGTTACTCCATAAATCAGACTTAACAGGATTGTTTCCCCGTCATTTCTTCTTTTCCGACAACGTTCTCTTCCTATTTGCCGGCACTATAAATTGGGTGCTTTCCAGCAAGGGACACAGTCAGACACAGTGTAACACAGTGAATCATACGTCCTTGTTGTTTGCTTACGTTAAACAAGGATGAAACGATTCACTGTGTTACACTGTGTTTGATTGTGTCCTTGCTGGAAAGAGAGAGAGCACCCATTGATAAACTAAATTTCTCCTCCGGAACATTTTTAATCCAGAGCAGCGGCACCAGAAATAATTTCGATCAGTTCCCTGGTGATCACAGCCTGTCGAGTGCGGTTGAAAGTGAGAGTGAGTTTGTCGATCATCTCTCCGGCGTTCTTGCTAGCATTATCCATAGCTGTCATACGGCTGGACTGCTCGCTGCAGGCACCTTCCTTCATCGAGTAAAATAACAGCGAAGCAAGAGAGAACTCGAGATAGCTCTGTATCACCTCATCATCGAGCGAATCATACACCGACAATTTTGGCGCAGTAACTACTGCATTCTTATCAAACAATGGTAGATCATCAATCGCGTACGATACCACAGATTTAAATCTGTTGTACACTATACGTCCACTGCCAAAGGAATAACTGCAAAAGAATAGTTATTAATTATATTATACAGCATTTTCTTTTAAAAAGACATATAGTTTATATATCTAAAATATCCATATAGTTAAGAAAGCAACAGAAAGGACCTCACGCAAATGTTATGAAAATTGTATTTCGGTCGAATTAGCTGAATATTTGATATGTTGTAAATCTTGTCATTACGATAAAAAGTTTCCATAGGCACGACCCCTTTCTATAATGAATCGTTTTACCTCTACAAGGCGTCATTTTTCGAAACGGGCTAATACTACAATATCTTATTTTCAACGGTACATTCCTACGTCATCATTGCATTTGCATTTTCTATTTATATTTTTAAATAAAAAGTTATAAGGATAATATTGACTTGATTGCTTCTTAAAAATCAGAGTGTTTGAGTATTGTAAGTCCCCTTGCCTCTCACAAATCGGGGTGCTTAAATCTCTAAAATCAATTAATCGATTTCGATACCTTTATAACTTTTTTATAAGAAGCAATCAAGTCATCAATATTATCGTTATAACTTTTTTTTACTTAAAAATATACGCAGAAATGACGTAGGAATGCACCGTACTCGTTGAAAATAAGATATTGTAGTATTAGCCCGTTTTAAAAAATGACGCCTCGTAAAGGTGAAATGATTCATTATGGGAGTCATATTTGTGGAAACTTTTTATGAGGACAAGATTTACAACATATCAAATTTTCAGCCAATTTGACCAAAATTGAATTTCCTTTAGGTAAATTAATAATAAATAGTAATAAAAAGGCAATAGGAATCGTCGCTAGATGTATAATTTTATGATAATGTTTGTGAAGAGGTGAGAGTATTCCTTGATAAATTTGTTGACCATTCCACTTCATAGGCTGATTGGTAACCGAAAGCCTCAATCTCGAAAACCACGAACATTATGTAATTATAAAGAATATTTGATTAACGTATAGTCAATTTAGATATAAAATGACGTACAGGGTGTTACAGATACATATTAGGCAGCACGACAGGTTACGCGGCAAACTTTGCTTGGCCAAGCGTGGTTTAATAGACAATGACAGTGATTTTATAACATAAACTTTATAATATAAATAATAAAAGTTTGTAGTATAAACTTTATAATGTATAAAGTCACTGTCATTGTCTATTAAACCACGCTTGCCCATGCAAAGTTTGCCACGCAACCCGTCGTACTGCCTAGTATGTATCTGTAACACCCTGTACATTATACATGAAATAATTAAATTATACATCAAAATCGCTAACAGAATAAAATAGTAACTGAAGACTTAGTTTTATAATAAATATTCTTTATAATTTTATAATGTTCGTGGTTTCGTCGGTTGAGATTGAGGCTTTCGGTTACCAATCAGCCTATGAACTGGAATGGTCGACAAATTTATCAAGAAAGACTCTCATCTCTTCACAGACGTTATCATAAAATTATACATCATTTTTGCTGAGAATGGCCCAAATATGAAACGTTCAGGCCGTTTAAATTAAATTATTGTAACATAGTATGTAAGATAATTTTAATTTTTTACATTGCGCAGTTATTAGATCTAGCGACGACTCCTGTTGCCTTTTTATTACTATTTATTATTATTCTAAATATAAGGAGTTCATTAATTTATTTTTTTATTGTAATTTATTAACTTTAGGAAAATTTATAGTAGACAATCTCAGCTGGTACTAGGTCTGTTCTTTTTAAACTAAACTTATGGTTCATCTTTTCTTTTTTTTCTCTAACATGGAAAGAAAAAGTGAAAAGATGAACTATAAACAAGTTGAATTGAAAAGAGAAGTTCAATTGAAAAGAACAGGTCCATTGCATTAATTAACTGTTTAAACTAATAATTAGTTACTCTATATTTAATACTCTATCCTAGCTCTTGAGTTTGGTTAACATACCCACTGTTCAATATCTGTATAGCTATTTTAGCAGCATCATTGAATGTGGGTGGTTTGCGACCGACCTCGGAAGCGACGAAGAGTATGTTATTCGCGAACTGCCGTTGAAGAATGGCACGAGACTTCTCACCAATGCATATGATCTTCGTGTCCTCACGTTCCTTAGAATCGGCTAATAACCGGTCGCGAATGTTGCGAGATACACCAGTATGAACGGCGCCGCAGAGACCACGATCGCTGGTCACAGCAATAACAAGCTTTTTCGGTTCCTCTGGTGGTGCTTGGATCTCAGCCTGCTCGTAGAACACCTTTGTGCCGATGCCGAGGGGACGAGCCTGCTTTAAATCACGTTCTGCTCGATTATACTTGGCTGCTGATACCATCTTCATGGATTGAGTAATCTTTTGAATATTCTTGACAGATTTCAAACGTATAGAGATTGCTTTAAGAGTGGCCATTCCCCTCTGCTGTTGCCATTGTTGCTCTTGCGCGGCTAGCCGCAGAAACGTTGATATACGGTTACTGAGCATCGTTGTTAGATTCCTAAAAATTCAAATTATCAAGAGACCACTCTATTTTAACTCAAGGACTTGAACCGAAAAATTTCGGTTTAGATAACAATCCGAGGCTAAATCCAACTTTTGATTTCAGTTCTTTTACCATAACGGTTACTGAGTTCTATCAGAAAACTATCAGAAAATATGCATTATCTCAACTTAATTATACTATGCAATAAAATATTATAATGCACAGATTCTTGATAGTCACAAACTGGTTTGAAAACACGTAGGAACAAAATCCTAAAATTTTCAGATTTGTCCTTTATTTTCTTTTGCTTAGTTTACATCATGCACTTGCGATACGGACACTAGTAGCTTCTCAAAGAATTAAAATAGATAGAAATAGATTCGTGTAGTCATTGCCAAATCCAAAATTCGGATTTTTTTCAGACACTGGGATTGAATTATCTTGGCCGCGGTCCGATACACGCTCACACGCTTAAAAATCATTTCATCCTTGTTGTTTGTCAAATGTTAAACGAAGACAAGCAATGCTCATGAGCGTTGTCAGCATGATTCGGACCACGGCCCTTAATTATGATGATACATGTAAACATACACATGATATATATATTTAATGAAAGACATGGAGAATGGTCTGTGCGATCCGTACCTAAGTAATGTATCAAATGTAGTTGACAATAGTGAGAGAAAGGGACCATGGAAGATGGCCAATCTCTCTCTCATTCTCTTTCCCATTACATTATTGAATGGAAAGAAATAGAAATGGCTGTCTGCCATGGTCTCTCTCATCTCTATCGACCATTTTGACACACAGATCGCACAGTTCATTCTCTATCACTTTGTATTTAATTAATCATTTTGATGCATATTCTACCAATTTAGTACATCATTCTTTAAATATATTGCTGAAATTAAAATTATTTAATAGAAAGTTACTGTTGTATATCAGTTGAACAGAACATGAAGTAGACTAGAAGATACTCGCAGTGTTGCCTGTGTTGATACAAGATAGACTTCTCATAAATAAGTATATATTAATTTTATCTGTTGTACCATTTATATAAGTATATATTAATTTTATTTATTGTACCATTTTATATAAGTATATATTAATTTGATCTACTGTACCAGTGAGTATATTATTTTGTGCCCTCATTAATATACAACACAGTTTTACTAGATAATACACGTATCAAGTGCTCCATGTAAAAGAGGTTTTTAAAAAAATATGTATTTATATTGAAGCATGACTATAGTAAGTAGGACTAGCATCAGAATACAAAATAATACTTAAATACTGAGATTGGTGGTCTGCGAGGTGAAAAAAAACAAAATGCTGTTATTTTTTTTCGCTTTTAAATGTTTCATTTGTTATGTAGCTTTTGTTCAATCAGTCACACATAAATGATAATAGTGGAAACATATTTTTTTAAATAGATATCGCAGGGATTAACCTTAGTAAAAGTGTCATTACTTTTTACCTCAGTATTTAAGGGATAAAGAGTGTCAGAATAGAAGTGATAAAAAACCTAGCTATTCTAACAAGTAGTTTTGTCAGTTAATGTAAATTACCGATAATAGTGATAAAATGCAATTACATTTCTGATGATAGTGATAAAATGCAATTACATTTCTGATGATAGTGATAAATACAACGAAATGAAAGAGCTGTTACATCTGCAGAGAAAAATTTCTGACATTCGGTAAGTACATATTATCGTCTTTTTTGTCAAAAATACTTTCTGTATACATACTTTCTCGCTCCTGGAATAAATCGTAAGACACACTGTGAAATATGATATGATTAAGTCGTAAACTTGAAATTACGGCGATGAATCAAGTCCAACAATCAGGAACTCAGTTCCAAATGTAGCACAATATCATTCCGTTTACATAATCGCAAGGAGAACATGTATGTAGAATCGATATCGTGATAAAGTCGAGTGCGAAAAAGATGAAGCTGCATCGTTTAGAAACGATGCAGCGAAATCGACTCACCGGCCAAAATAAAGCTCTGAAATTAAGCTCACGAATTGAGAATCCTTCTCTAATTGACTAATCAACCAGGGGTTTTATTCTTGAAAAGAAACGTATACGAAAATCTAGGGAAATGCTACAGTATACGTTAGGGCCTGCGCACATGGCTACGTTCGGAAACGTCGCTCGGATGCCTCCGATGCCTCGGATTCATCATCTGTCCTTGTTTAATATTATATTAGATGTTAAACAAGGACAGATGATGAATCCGAGGCATCGGAGGCATCTGAGCGACGTTCCCGAACGCAGCCAATAGAGGAACAAGAATTAGATATTAAGATTTCAATCTATCAGAAACCGTGTATTCCGATGTAATCAGTTTCTGATAGGTTAAAATCTTAATATCTAATTTCTGTTCCTCTATTGTGATCAGGCCCTTACGTATACTATAGTATTTCCCTTTCGTATACGTTTCTTTTTAAGAATAGAGCTCCAGATCAGCGGATCCACGAGATCCGTCGACCGAATAGAATTAGGGTGCCGTCACATGCGGCGTAACTTGCATAAGCGTAACTTGCGCAGACCAATCATATCATTTCACTTAGACGCCTAAGGCGTCGTCTACAATACACGAAGTAAGAAGTAAGGCCCTGCGCACAATTAAGGATGTAGCGGTCGTAGAATCTTAAGTCGTAAAAAATTAACCAATCGCAATCGAATATAAGAAGAATAATCGACTACGATTGGTCAATTTTCTATTGTAGACCCCCGCATAAGGCCCTAGGCACAATGAAGGAAATAATAGGAATATAAGAATAAATATTAAAATTTCAACCTATCAGAAACCGTATATTCCGGTGTAACTGGTATCTGATAGGTTAAAATCTTAATATCTATTCCTGTTCCTAATATTTTCTCCATTGTGCGCAGGGCCTAAGAAATAATCGACTGTGATTGGTCAATTTCTTACTCTTACTTCTTACTTCGTGTATTGTAGACGACGCCTTATTGTAGAAGGCCCATTGTAGGCCGAGTCGCCGATCGCTCACGTGACGCTGTGCCCCCAGGAGCGTCGCGATACGAAAAGTATACTGGGAACATATCTTTCCGGCAAATATCGTTAAAATATTTTCTTTTCTATGTGATTTTTATTTTAATAAATAATTAAAATAAATCTTTTATTATTAACATATTATATTCTGCAATAATATATAATTAAAAATTACAATATGATAATTATAATATAAACAATGGCTTTCCATGTTATCTTGAAAGTACTATTATTGATACGTTTTTCAAATAGTTTCTTCAGTAGGTTTATTTCACTAAGAAATAAAAAAAGATGATTAAATATATGTAACTCGGTAAAGTAAAATTTTACATCATAAATATTTTATATTGTAAATAAATATTTATGTAAAATTTTACTTTCGGTAAAAGTTTCAGTTTCGGTCGGACTCTATTTATACGTATAATAAAGTTTACAAAATTTCAGCTAATATTTAAGTTATAGTAACATAAAAATTTTAGAATACTTTAAATTAAATTTTGCATAAATCATAGCAATAAATTTTTTTCGTGCTGTCACTTCTAGCTAGATTGAGAGGTAGAATAGATTCTTTCCACCGTACTGTCTGTAATGCTAGCCTTTTACTCTGTTGTTAATATCGCAGTCTAGTAGAGTGAAGAGATTCTAATCGTTCTACAGAATTTCTATAGATTTAAAGGAATCCGATCGGAAAAAACGACCCATACAGCACAGAACATTGAAATAATATTCTGTACTGTAGGGGAGCATCGTCCCGCAGACTTACCTGGTACAGGTAAGATTCGAATAAAATATTTTCAGAAAAAAAAAGAAAATTTTTTAAAAAAGTAATGAACTGATGTGTCAGATATAATATTTCTATACATAAAACGCTTTTGTCATCTATCAAATAAATTTTTTTAATATGATACATTTACACATATAAACTATGCATATTTCCTGCGGATGATTTAATATAGATCGAGTGGCGGAGTTTCGTCGTACAGTTTTTCCCTTTCGCCATTTCTAAACTGCCGCTTTCGCTCAAGATCCATAGCGAGCAGGCGGCGCCTTCTTTTAATACCCATTATACATTCGTACATATCCTCGAGTATCAATCGGCACTTTTCCTTGCCTCTATGATAACCGTATGCTTCCATGCAGTCTATATACATCAGCTCATATGGCCCGCATTGTTTGTGGCCTTGTAAATTGCGTACATGAAGAAAGATATCTGAGGGAGGTCCTTTGAACAAGGGCGTACTACCCCACTTCATCCAAATGATATTGTCGTGGTCTATCATGATGTATCTGAAAAATACAGCATTTTTAGAAATCACAACTCATAATATATCAGTTAATATTTCAGAGTTTCAGTATTTTAGTATGATCCTTGCTACAGAAATATTTTATACAATCATGGGGAAAAGCTCTCGATACCAGTGCTAAATCCCAGCACTGAGACTACAATTTTCTATCTATGATCCTTTTCGCATATCGAGCGCTCGCAAGACGAACATATATACAGGGTGTCCAGAAAATCGCCCGCAATATTTCACGAAGTGATTCGGAACTCAAAAAGAAAGAAAAAAGCTACATAAACATAGGACCGGAAATAACGAGTTATAACTACTTTTATGTTAAAAAAATTGTAATTTATTTCTCATAATCACAATCATAATTTATTTCATAGTGTTCTAACATAAATAACTACATTTCAGACTATTTTGACGTTATCCAGGATGCACCACGTGGAGGCGTAGTTTGCTTGGCATTCCTCGAGTAAAGTAAAAAAAATTTTTAAATCAAAACGGATGCCAAACGGACTATATCTCCACGTAGTGCATCCTAAGTAACGCTAAAATAGTCTGAAATGTAGTTATTTATGTTAAAACACTATGAAATAAATTATGATTGTGATTACGAAAAAAATAAATTACATTTGTAACATAAAAGTGATCATATATAACTCGAAAACTTATTTCCGAACCTACAAGGAGAGAATTTTCTTTTAAAATTTAGACTGAAAATAGTTGCGGTACAATACAATATTTTAAAATTTTTACCATGCACTTCAGTAAAATTGATCGAACTTATTTTATACTTTATTGTAATTTTATTAATGAATGAGAGAGATTTACATATGACAACATTCTGAAACTGATTTGATTCTCTTTAAAATATGTTGTTAAACACAAAAAGACATGTATTTATATTAGCTCAATCTCAGATTTAAAGGATGAAACAATCTCTCAAAGCTAATACTTATATTTGATTTCTATGAATAAGCAAAATAATATATAGAAAAATGTTTTAAACAAAACTTTTATGGTTTCTTATATATTTTAACTGTACTCAGACTTTTCAAAAATCTAATATTTTGAAAATACTCTCTTATTCCCATTAATTTTGGGGGTTTGTTTCATCAGTTAAATCTGAGACTGAATATATAATAAAAATGTCTCTTAGATTTTTGTATTTAGTAACATATTTCAACGAGAATCCGGACAATTGTGATACATTCCTTATGAATGTAACTTCATCCAAACTCTAATTTAATTAGCAACTAATTCAAATGACAGAATTGCTTGAAGCAAAATTTCCATATAATTCTCTGCTTTTAATCAATCTTTTCTCTCATATAAATCCCATTAAATAGAGCTGATAAGGCCGTTTTACAACTCATGGTTAACTCTTAACCAAGGTTCAACTTTGTCACCTTTTTCCAATTCTAGAATTGAAAAGAGATAATGAATAAGTTGAACTTTGGTTAAGAGTTAACCGTCAGTTGTGAAACTGGGCCTAATTCTATCCATGTTACCAATGGCATTGGTACAAATTAATCATCTAAGTTAAACTAACTGAAAATTAGACTAAGGCCCAGTTTCACAATTCGCGGTTAACTCTTAACCGAGGTTCAACTTATTCATTATCTCCTTCCACTTCTAGAATTGGAAAGAGATGAGAAACAAGTTGACCTTAGTTAAGAATTAACCGTGAGTTGTGAAACTGGGCCTAAATATATAATCAAGATTCTTGATGAGCTAGTAAATGTCAAAGAAAATAATGATACCGTTGTATTGTCGAACAATAAGGCCCAGTTTCACAACTCATGATTAACTCTTAACCGAGGTTCAACTTATTTCTCATCTTTTTCCAATTCCAGAATTGAAAAAAGATAATAAATAAGTTGAACTTCGGTTAAGAATTAATCGTCAGTTGTGAAATTGGGCCTAAAACTCATTGCAGTTTATTCGCATTACAAAAATAATCCCAGGTAAAGTGTCTAAAATTGAGTTACAAGATGTTTTTGCGTCTAAAAGACGACTTAAAGTATCTTATGTCACAATTTTAGACTTTGTGTTGTTTGAGAACGATTTGGCAAACAATTTTTTTAATGTGAGAAGATATAATCTATATATAAACTATATAATCAGAAAAGTATAATAATGTAACTCGTCATGCATGTAAAAACGAAAGAACGATATTACGTACCGGTATAGATAGACAATATTTCGGTTTTTGTAATTATTATTTACGCTCTGTGTGTGAAGAGCTCTTGGAGAAATTTTAATGCACAGAAAATAATCTCTCTATTGCTTTATTTTTACATAATAGCATTCGACGTTACGTTACGTTGATGTTGCCACAGGTTTGTTCTTTTTAGAGCCATGGCATGCAAAAATCTTTAAGGCTCGGTTTCACAACTGATGGCCGCAACACACACTTTTGCATAACGCATAATACATAGTGCATAAGTCCGGATCTACAATAAAGCGGGGAGCACAAACTCTTGCATAACGCATAACACGTAATGCATAAGAATATGTACCAATCGAAGTTCTCCGTTTCTTTCCCTTCCATGTAATAGAGAACTCTGGTTGGTTCAATTTCTTATGCCTCATGTGTTATGCGTTATGCAAGAGTCTGTGCTCCCCACTTAAGGTTTTAAGCCTTAAGCTATAAGAAATGGGCGAATCACAGTCGCTTATTCTTCTCGGATTCGACTGTAATTGGTCAGTTTCTTACGGCATAAGGCATAAAACACCTATTGTAGATCCGGACTTAACCGAGGTTCAACTTATTCATTATCTCTTTTCAATTCTAGAATTGGAAAAAGATGAGAAATAAGTTAAACCTCGGTTAAGAGTTAATCATGAGTTATGAAACAGGGCCTAAGGCTACATTTCAAACTTCCTCTCCGAGGAAGATTTTACTCTATATGCTATAGTATACGTCACATGTACTATATATTTCGAGTAAAATGTCCTCAGAGAGGAAGTTTCGGAACGTATCCTAAGATAGTAACATGGTAGAAATACGTAAGGTGAGGCATCGTCTACAATACACGGAGTAAGAAGTAAGAGTAAGAAATTGACCAATCACAGTCGATTATTCTTCTCATTCGTCTGTCATTCGACTGTGATTGGTCAATTTCTTACTCTTACTTCTTACTCCGTGTATTGTAGACGGGCCTTTAAACGTGATGCTGCGCATGCGCATTGAGAACATTTATCCCTTACTACCTTTCTCTTTCGCACACATGTTTGCGTCAGCGCGAGCCATGGGCAAGTATAGGCTG